TTTTTTTAAATTACACATGAGTGAAATCATATGGTATTAGTCTTTCTATGACTGAATTATGTCACTGAGCACAATACTCTCTAGCTTCATTCATGTCATTGCAAATGGCAAGATTTCATTCTTATGTATTTACCCAAATAATACAAAAATACTAATTCAAAGGGGCACATGCACCCCAATGTTATAGCGGCATTATCAACAATAGCCAAATTATGGAAAGAGCCCAAATGTCCACTGACTAATGAGTGCATAAAGAAGATATGGTGTGTATACACACATACACACACACACACACAGGAGCTAGGAGAAATATTACAAAGACATGGGCTATGGAAATTTTAGTTTGGTGTGGAAAACAGATTATTAAAGTATGAAGAAGGCTAAGTACAGTGTATTATGGTGAGAATAGGGAAGTAGCTTCTAAATCAGAGTTTATGGAAGGCTTCAAAAAGTCAGGTAGGAGCTATGATTGTTAAAGCACAGTTTAGGCAAAGGGACTTCAGGTATAAAGGCATGTATAAAAGAATGGTTTTCTGAGATAGCATAAGTTTTTAAGACACCACATGCAGTTGTGAATTGTTTGGAATAAAGAATGTATGCAGAAGAGTGGTTGGAGATGTTAGTAGTAGAAAGGGCCTGAATATAACATTATACCAAAGAGCTTGGATATTATTCTTTAGGACAGTGGGAAATACTGACTTTAAGCAGGGAATCATTAGGATCAGATTGACATATTTCAGAGATTACATAGAGAGCAGAGTGTGATGCTTAAGCTCCAGTGCCTTTTGCTTTCGTGGAAACCTTCTAAAGTCCTGGAATGAACACTAGCAATGAGTTTTGTGGTCAAGTGTTTTCTGTAAAATTTGAAAAAGGAGGATATTTTAACTGCAATGGTCTCTTTCTACTTTAACTTGCTTCTAATACATTTTCCCTAGGCTATGGGCATTTTGGAAACCAGCTAATGGGGAAGTTCAGGATTATTTAGTAATATGTGTGTGTGTGCATGTGTGTGTGTGTGTGTGTGTGTATATATATTAAGATTTATTTATTTGAGAGAGAGGGAGACTGACAGCAGGAGTGGGAAGGGCAAAGGGAGAGGGACAGAGAATCTCAAGCAGACTCCCTGCTGAGCCCGGAGACTGAGGCAGGGCTGGATCCCAGGATCCTGAGATCATGACCTGCATGGAAACCAAGAGTGGACTGCGTAACATACTGTGCCACCCAGGCATCCCTAGTAATATATATTAAAGTAGTTTGTAGTTATGTATAGCTAAGTTATTGCTACTCATCCTGGTATAGAAATAGCTTCTGGTAATGATTTTACTACCCACACTGCAGTTAAAAGGCAAAGATATAGGGCCAAAGGTCATATTGTGATAAGTATATTCATGATTTCATGTCTGTTTCTTAAAGAAGGACCCTAAACCATATAAACTTCAGGACCAGGATCTTTACCTGGAGCAATACGAGATAAGACTAAATCAGTAAATTACTGTAAAATTTTTTTAGTCTTGTGAGAGATGAAGACCTGAACCAAGGCACTGATAGTAGAATTGGAGGGCAAAGGTTAAGATGCAGGAAGCATCCAGGGAGTACAATTTAGGGAACTTGGCAATTGTTTTGATTGGGGGGTTGGTTTCATAACACATTATGGACTTGGATAACTGGAAGGATGGAGGCCCAGTCATGGACAAAAAACATTAGGGGAACTGCAAGTTTGGGTGGAGGATGAATCGTTTTGGGCTTGTTGCATTTCAGGTGTCATACAAGTAGACAAAATGCACGTCTGTAGCTCAGCTAAGCACCCAGATGTTGGGGGATATAACCTGCTATTATTTTCTTCTCTGGAGGCCACTTACCAGGCTTTTTTCGTCCTTGCTTTCCAGTCCTCACCCCCAAGAAACCGCAGGCACTTACACATCCCCAGGACTTCCCAGTGGCGCTTGCGCACCGGATGTGCGGATGTGCGAGCAGCACTTCCGCCCCCGGAGACACGCGCTCAGGGGACGTTCTGCGCAGGCTGCGTGAGGCTCAGAGCCTGGCCCAAGTTCTGTCGCCTCGGGGCTCTTTGTGAGTGGTTTCGCTTCTGCGTGGTTTTCGGCAGGATACCTTTCTCCACAGAGAGAGCGTTCTCTTTCTACTTCACCCCCAAACCTCCACTTTCCCCTCTGGAAGTCAGCGGCACCTCCCCGAGGGCTTTGTAGGTCTCCAGGCACCGAGGCAGCGACACTGATGAAGATGAGTCAGCGTTGATTTCTCAGGGGGTAAACTCACGACTCGTTACCTTTGGTGCTTTTGCCCAAAGCCCGGAAAAGCTTCGGGAGCTGAGCTTAAGGTCTGCGGTGACTTTGGGTCTTCTATATGAACCTAGAATTAAGAGGGAAAAGTCTCAGTGATTAAGATACCTATTAAGCTAGGTTCCCCAGGAAAGGGACCAGAGTAATTGCAGCCTCCTGGAATCCCAAAGTGGCTCATGTACCTGAGCAAGCCTGAAGATTTGCACTGTCTTGTGACTAAACTCTTTCAGTGTAGCAGGATAGTTGAGGGAAACTTGACTTCATTATTGCTAACAGATGTGGAACAAATAAAAATATGTAGTTTTATTAGTTTATTACTAATAAATACATTCTAAATAAGCCATTCACGGCAGAATACCAAAATGTAGTGGACAGTAATAGTCCAGTGGCTAATTTTGTGTTATTGAAGATGACTGGTAACTGAGTGTGATATGAACCAGTTGTATACCTTGAGCCATTGGTTGAGTTAGAAATCCGCCCACTCTTAAAAAAAAAAAAAGAAAGAAAAAAAATCTTAACCATTCCCCTCACCTGCTTGAAGTTTTTTTTCCATTGCCCTTTTTACTTCGTAATATAGCAGAATTTACTCACTTTAGAGCCATCATTTATTATTTGTCCCACACCAGAGTTAAGCTCCATGAAGGTAGGGACTTTTTTATCTGCTTACTGTTGTGTTTCAAAGGTCAAGAACAGTTTGGGCCCAAACTAAGCACTCAACATAAACTTACTGAATGAATGAAAAAAATGAGTATGTTATTTTTCATAGAGCGTGAAGTAGAGCCTAGAGTGGGTTTGCATGATTGGCATGACCTATGTGGAACATAGTTTTATTCAAAGCCCTGCTAGTAAAGGCAGTCAAAAAATGAACAAATGTTTATGGAATATCTGACATTCCCCAAATGATAACTTTCCAAATTTCCCATCTTTTCTCCATTAAACATTCTGACATTTTTATATTTGGCCTATGCTGTTCACCTCCATCACATCTCTTATAGTGGTATGCTCATACTAGATAATAAATATTTGTTGAAAGAGCAAGGGAGTGAACTGGATTAAGGCATTAGGTTACCTGGGAATTCATTTATTTATAACATTAACAGACATTTTATAGAATTATGGCCCACAATAGTAGTAGTTTGCAAATTGAAGTCTATTTCTCTGAAGGATTTGTAAGTTTTCTATGATAATTTTTAGGTTTTCATTTCAGTGGTCCTCTGAAAATTTAACTTACACATGTTCTGGGCTATCTGGGTAACCAAATACTAACAGGAGGTTTTGGTGTCTCTGTTTTGTATCTCTTTTGAGCATATTGGCACTACTTAGTGTAGTATTTTGTGGCAGGTTAATAAGAAAAAATCAGAAGCATCCTTTAAAAATGTAAAAGACTTATTCACCTTAACTGAAGCTGAAGTGACAGTAAGCTACTCTGTCAGAAGATTTCACAATAGTTTAAAAGAAGAGAGAGAAATGAGTCATAGCATGTAGTAAAATAGGCTTGCTAAAGTCTGTACCATATTCCTTTTGTGAGAGGTGATTTAGTTTGGCAAAGCATAATCATTGGTGTTTTTAAATTAATATTTTAAATTTAAGTTTTGTTGACTTTATAGTTTTGTTTGCACTTACTTTATAATTTTGTGGGTGTTTTTTGTAGCTACAAGAACTATAATATGAAAAATTTGAGCCTAACCCTATATTTGTACATATTTAATAAAACATAATGAAAATAGTTTAAATTAGGAAGAGGAGACCTTAAAAATGTGTTTTTACTTTTAGTGGATTTTAATGTGTTTAGATTTTACTCAAGTTTGTGAAAAATGACATTACAAAGATTTGAGCTTTAGGGCCTAGGACACAGAATATTTACTTTAATGAAGTACAGGTGTGACCGTTCACTATAGGAAAAATGTTTCTGCTGCTAGTAGTGCTCATGGTGCTGAAAAATAGAAGAGAGGGATCTTAGGAAAATGTAGGAAGATTAGTTGGAGAAAATAGAGAAATTTGAGGTAAAATCTGAGCTTTCTTTGCAGTTTTGCTTTTGGCTCTGAATTTGTGAGTTCTCTTTCTTAGTGATTTTTCTCAAATGGCTAAGTGAAGTGCAGTGTTTTTGTTTCTAGATTTAAGAGAAGAAAAATGTTAATCAGCACTTCTGTAGTTGGTGCAAATCTCTGGTGTGGAACACTGGGAGACCTAAAGCGCTGTTTACAGTCATTGTGATAGAAGATCAGAGGAGAGAGATTCTCTCCCCCCACCCCAACCCCATCCCTGGTCCTGCATAGGTAAATTGGAATAGAAAGAAAGGAGATGAGGGCTTTGCTTTGGTTTACTTTAATAGAAGGAGTACTGGGAGCAGGTGTTATTTTAGAGTTGACTTTGCTACCATGTCTAGAGCAATACTACCTGGAGTTCAGTCAATCCACAAATATTTATTGAGCACCTCTATGTGCTAGGCATTATGTAGGGAGCTGAAGACAGTGAACAATACAGGGTCCATGCCTTTTGGGACTTAGGTAAAACTAATACTTGTTGATTCTGTTGTATCGTGTCCCTATCTTCACTTGGCACATTTTAGTTGAATATGACTGGGCAATGTGAACATTTTTAGTGCACTCTTTATGTTGATTTATCTGATTTCTGGGATGGAATACATAATTAGAAATTGTAAAGCCTCAGATTAATTTGTTCTTATCTTTCTCTGTTTTTAAGGGGTGTTATGAAAGTTGACATAAATCTTCAGAAAGTGGACATTGACCAATGTTCAAGTGATGGCTGGTTTTCAGGAACTCACAAATGTCACCTTAACAATTCAGAGGTAAGAACGTGAAGATAAAATGCTCTGAAATCAGAAACTCAGAAATGTATAACTTTAGAATTATATTATATTTATGTGGGTAAGTGAACAACACACATCTTACTGGGAAAGAAAAGTCTCATATGCAGTTCTGAATGTTGCCAAATGAACTGAAAGAGGGGTAGAAAATTTTGTGCACAGTAACTGTTCATTTGGGTACTAAGAGAAAGCTGAAACTAAAAATATGTTCGAGGTTTGGCATTAGTCAAAGGCTGACCCATTCTTCAAAATGGGCTAGAAATTAAAATATCCATGACGTGAGAAACCCAGGAGGGGTCAACCAGATTATGCACATTTTTATGCAGTATGATGCTTGTGGAAACACTGATGCTGTACATTCAGACACACTGCCATCTGCTAGAAAAGCGATAAAGTATGGCAGGGAAATTTTGAAAACAAAGAGAAAACTATTCAGGGACCTGGATAAGAAATATGTACATTTGTGTATGTTTTTCAATTTTCAGTTCCTATCTGTGCTCGATTTCATGGGACTCTTGTTGGTAAAAAACAGGCATAGAGATCATACTTCTGGAAATAAGACTGGTACTTGTCTTTTGTAGTTTCAAAGAGGAAATGTAATGACATCCTGATTTCATTTTCAGTAATCTATCTCTCAGGTCCCAAAATGCTGTGAAACAACTGTACTATAAAACTCCTGATCTTAATTAAATATTTGGGCTAACCAACTTTGAGTTCATGAATTTGTGAGGAAAGTCAGCTTAATTTATTTAAAATACAGGGAGATTGCCATAAATATAGTAATTTAAATCTTCAATTTTAATTTTTGTTCTTGAGAAAGATGATTTTATATAGTGCATTTTTTTCTATCTGATACAATGCTCTTTATTTTTTATTTATTTTTATTAATTTCAGTAGAGTTAATATACAGTGTTATATTAATTTCAGGTGTACAACATAATGATTCAATACATAGTGCTCCCCCACGATATCCTTCAACCTTCCTACCCCCTAAAACCCTTAGGAACCCTCATAATTCCTCACATCCCTCTAAATCCATCATACGTCCCTCCCATACCTCCGTGACTCCTACTTCCTTAGTACCCCCTGTACGTTCCCACATATCCCCATCCCGCCTCCCACATTTCTGTACAGCTCCACAGAGCCAGCCCCCCACACAGCCCTCACTTCCTTCACTCCCCCCACCCCCAAATGGGGACTCAAATTATGTAAGTGAAATGTTTTGGTCTTGTCAATTCATAGAAGTTAAGGTCCTCTTTTTGCTTCCTTTCACTCCTTGTTCTTTTGATTTTGAACTTTTCTGAGTTTCCGCTTCCCTGTGGATGGTTCTGGCATTTCTAAAGATACGAATTTCAATCACTGATGTAGTGAACATCTTTAGCTTGATTATTATTTCTGTGCTAATAGCATATAACCATTTAGGTTTGTCTTTTAGCTAGGGTGGAATTTTTTTTCTGCATGGGTGTGGTTGTGTGGATATTGATCTGTATGTGCTCATTTCTGTATAGCCTTGTTTCAGTAATGATCTTGGTGCAGTTTTTTTTTTTTTCCTTATAGCACATCTGTTTGACTAGATGGTTATATTGCAAGAATCTCTTTCTCCTTCTGGAAGATTGATTTATTTTCATTGTACCAGGATTATTAATTTTCTGGGTGTTGTATCTTTTTAAAACTTCCAAATAGACTAAGTTATTTCAAGATAAAATATTATCCTCTGTTCTGGTTAAGAAGAATTACATTGAAATATGTAACATTTTGCATTGTATATATGAGCATTATACTTATCAGATTCCTAAAAAACTGGGAAAACATATCCTATAAGACTACTGACAGTTCAATGAATCGCATTTGAAAATATTGTTAAAAGAGGCTCAGTGATCAATAATAACATCAATAAACAGTGAATGTACAAAATGCATATTTTGATTTAGACTCTGGCTCTCTTCACCCCCTTCCCTTCCCATGTGCTAGAATTGGGAGTGGGAGACGTTGGTGTTCTGGGCTGGGCCCTGGAGGCCCTTGGTAGGTAGTTTGACTAGGGCTGCTGTTGGAGCTCTTCACACTGTTTTGTTGGGCTTTTCTGAGGTCCTGTAGTTGGTGCTGGTCACGCTAGGCATCTGCAACAATTCCATACCTCATCTTCAGTCTAGGGACTAGCAGTGGTCTTTCAGTCCTTCTCTGTACTGACGTGAGTTGGAGATGAAGACTGGCTTCTCTTGACCTTTTTATTGCTTGGGGAAACAAAGAAAAATCACTTGTTCGGGATATTTTTCATCTGCACTGGCTCTCCTTTGTTCACATATTTTCTGTTATGGACCCCAAAGATCTCTGTGTAAACTGGCTTATTTTGGGAAGTAGTTAACATGATATTTGTAGGGTGTAGGGGCCTATCTTTATGAATATCCATATCATTAGAAACAGAGACCCTTATCACGTTTATTGTGGGTTTTATCTTACCAATGTTTAACATTCTTCTTTTATAAATACTAGTGGAAGTCACACATTTTAGTTATATTGAGGCATCTTTTCACTTTTAAAATGTTTCTGGTGTGTTGAATTTTTAGCCTTTAGGGTATCTTAAACCAGAACAGTGAGTCTGATGTTGGAAACAGGTAAGTAGCATGTGACCAATGACAAAAGCCTCAGGAGCATTTTAGAAAGGCATGGAATGGTTAGTGAGGAAAATAATTTCTCAATGAGTTTGGGTCTTTACAGGAACTAGGAGGCCACTAAGTATTTTTTAAAGGGCATAGTAAAACAGGATCTGAACCGACATCCTGAACTGGATTGCAGGATTATTCTGGCTGTTTTTGTAAGTGATCCAGATCATTGCAACAGGGACTTGATCACGTTGTCAGCATTCATTTAAATAATTCCTGGCCTATTTTCATATCATTGTTTGTGCTGAGTACACAAAATCCTCTCTTACAGATAGTTTATTAAAAACATTAAAATAAATTGATATTCATTTTTGTTTTAAAGGTTTTCTTTTGCTTTGTTTCCATTATAAGAATTTTTAAAAATCACTATTTAAAGTAGGACAGTGGCCTTGAAACTTTTTGATTGTATTCTATTAGTAAAAATGCTCTAAGTATCCACCCATAGTATATGTGTATTTTTAATCTAGAAAGTATGTTTTTCTTATATTTATATATTCTATATATTATAAATTAGAAAACTTAGGTTGAGATAAAGATAAAATAATACATACTTTTAAAGATTTTATTTATTTATTTGACAGAGAGAGGCACAGTGAGAGAGGGAACACAAGCAGGGGGAGTGGGAGAGGGAGAAGCAGGCTTCCCGCAGAGCAAAGAGCCCGATGAGGGGCTCGATCCCAGGACCCTGGGATCATGACCTGAGCTGAAGGCAGATGCTTAACAACTGAGCCACCCAGGCATTCCTAAAATAATATTTTAATGTAGATTATATATTATAAATATTATATCTTTAAAGAGAACAGTAAATTAACTGATTCACAATTATGCTTCATCATTTTTTGAAATCTTAGTTTAATACTTAGTAATGCAATGATTCAGAGGTCTCTAAGTTCAGTTTATTTTTGTACTTTGTTTTAATGTCTGTCATGGTTGAAAATATGCCTCATGAGGATATGTCTTTCCAAATTGAAGAAATAATTTGTTGACTGTGTTTGCGAAATGACAGTGTTCATTTTTCAGTTCCATGTACCAGTTTTGCACAGGTTTTTGCAAAATTCAGCTGGCAGTCTTTCATCTAACCTGATGTCAGTTGGTCCTTACAAACTATTTGAAAAGCTGGGAATTTTAATATTTTAAGGGAATAGGTTAAAAAGTCCATTCACACTTTTGTGAGGAATATTTTCAAACAGATTAGGAGATTTTATTTCCAACTTTAAACTCTATGGTTAGTGAGTATTTATAGTTTTTGGCAATGAAAACCACATAACACTGAAAACATTTCCAAATGCACATTTTCAAAATGCTCACTTCAGACAGCTTTCTCATGGATTATTAAACTGTCGCTTTTACTTTGAAGGAACAGCTTATATGTATTTTTGGAAATACCTGCTGCATAGGCACTACTGACAACCACTTGTCATTGTAGGAGCAGGTCAGCAAATTTGGAGCATTTTCTTTCTTTCTTTTTTTTTTTTTTTTAAGAGTAATGCATTACTAGTCTTTTAGTTTAGAAACAAGTAGTTCCCTTTGAGATAATCAGAAAATCTTTGTGTGGGAAAAGTTTTTCCAGGTTGCACACCATCTCATTTTGAAGAACTGTAAATGTTTTACAATTTAAAATAATATACTCTGTAAATCCACTTAGATGGTCAGATGTAAATAGTAATACATTGAAATTTGAAAGTAGATGAAGGAACCAGTTAACCACTGTCAATAATGGCGCCTGGGAACTTCTAGCTTTCCTTCAGGATACCTCAAGTGACTTACCAGTCTTGTGGTCATATGACATGTGGACTGAGTAAGAGCATGAATGTTTTTCCAAGTCTTAAATTAGTAAAGCATGATTTCCTATTTTTTAAAAGTTTAAATATAAATAGAAGTTCTATTTTCTTTTCACATGTCAATTAACCTCCTGTGTCCTTGGCTTTGGAGAATACTTCTTGAGGTTATCAGATTTTCTGTTCTATTTAGAAACACCTGAATGGTTGTGTTGTCAGCTCAGCCAGTGGTTTTATATAGTTCTAAGATGGTTTTCTGATATCTCTTTTTTCTACTGTTAGATGGGACTCCACTTGTAACTCTTTACTACTCCATTAAGTCTAAGTTAATTAATCTCTAAAGATATATTTTTAGAAAGTTAAAGATGTAAGAAAAGATGTCATTTAGTGCACAAGAAAAAAATTTAATGCAAAAATCTAAGGAAAGCAGAAGGAGTCAATCATTCTCTTTTGGAAGCCATCTTATATACAGAATATAGCTTACTCATTTGGCTGCAGTAGGATTTAGAGTACTTTTCCAGAGATTGCTTACTGAACTCAATTT